AAAAAAAAGACATTGATACTTATTGAAAGAATAATAAACATGATGAAATATTTAATTATCTGACGAAATTTAAAAAATACGCGTCATATGTCTACATTAAAAATTTGTCGTAACTGACCGTGACCAGGTTCTGGTCACGATCACGTCACGGTCACGATTTTTTTTTTAGAAATCGGTCACGATCGTGACCGTAACCGTGACCGTGACCGTGAGTCACGGCAGTCACGGCGGTCACGCAGGTGTCTAATCATGATGCCATTGTTAGATGAGATGTGTACTTCGTAATTCTCGTTTTGAAATGAATACATCTGTGAAAGGAACAATAAATACCTAGTTTACATGAAAGACAGTGTTTTGTGGAACTCACCTATATTTTCGAAAAAAACATAGTGAGTGGAAGTTTAAATCGAGATTTTTGCGGCTCTCCTTCCACCCGTCCCCCTCCCAGGCCCTAGCAACGGGAGAGAAGAAGGCCAAAGATTATTGGATTTGTTTCCATGACAACGGAGGGCGGGAAGACCAACCATCATCAGATATGTTTGCCTAGCAACGGAAAAAATTGTGCCAATGATAACAGTGCTTCGATCATTCAGGAACTTTCTAGAATTTTCGCAAGCCTTCTATGAATCTAAGATTTCTACCAGAGATCGAAAAAAAAAGTTTTATTCTTTCGGGTTCGATTCGGTTCGCCTTTGTTGCCTAATAACCAGTTCGGATTCGGTTCGTTTTTGGTCTCTGATTTCTATTATAGGTACTAACTAGTCTAAATATTGCGGATTGTGATATTTAATGCGATAAAAGAATTTTATTGTAGATATCAATCATTAGGTTAGGAAGGCGGCATTATTGATCTAGTAGAGTCAAATTAGGGTAGACATGGAACAGTACCAACTAGTTGAATTCTAAGTTTAGACGATACTCAACAGTATATGTGAAAGTTCATCAAAAGAAAGGATGATGTACTCGAAAGCTTACTGAACGATTCAATCAATGTATATAACAGGCTAACATAATGGTTGAACCGACGAAATGAAAATAAAATAATATTTGTCACTTTCATGATATGTATCATATATGTTATCATCAGGAGAAAAGAACATATGTATTGAAGATGCCATTGACTATACAAAGAAGTTTTTTCAATATAACGATGTTAAATGAATTTCATAAATTGGTAGAATAGTAATTTGAAATGTAAACATTTTCAAAAAAGCTTATTAGCGCAGCTCCTTCGGGGCTGAAATGTGGAACTCACATATACCGATGAATTAAGTGCTCATTGAATAGAGGGTCTTTAATTTTTAATGTATCAAATGTAAAAAAACTGGAAGTGGTAAACGTAAACTAAAACAAATGAGGATTTATTCAATACAAGTTGGTTTCTTTATTAATAGTTACCAGTATCGAGGTGAACATATTAGGAAGTTCATGTCAATGCTTTTCGATATATTGAAGTTGTTGTTTGGTTAAGTATAATATGTTAAAAAATGTTATGAAATGTTTATCTGATATGTCTATTTCTATTGTTGCTGCCGTAAATGATGGATAGAGTAGGAAATCGTTTAAAATATATTTTCGTTCGATTTGAAAAAGTGATGTAAACTCTGATAGGTTAGTTTACGAAAACATGTAGATTGAATAAAACTAGTAAAATTTTTAAATACACTAGAAGAGTTCGAAATTTTCATTTTGACAGCCCTATAATAAGAAAACTTTGAAATATTTTTTTTTGTTAATTATAGGAAAAGTGCATGAAGATAATTACTAGAACTTACTACGAGACATCTAGAAAGGTGCTAATAATTACAATAACGATAGATCGAAAAAAAACCGTGAAAATTCTTGTATGAATAATGAATACAAGAACAAAACTGCTTATGTACTGATAAAAAATTGTGAAAGAGAGTCATATAGCGACTTGTTTTCAACCTATTTTTGTTTGATTTTTAACAGGAATATTTTGCTTATCTTGTGTTTTTAAAACGTTGCACAGCTCTTGCCCTAGATCATTTTCTATTGGATGATCAATATCGTAGTTTTCTTCATAAGCATTTATTTGAATGAGCGAAAATAGTTACCGCAAACAAACAAAATTTCTAATAATTTATATTTCGATATATCCGACGAAAATTATGACGTTTGTACGATTCAAATAACTATTTAAGAGAAATCGAACATTGCTAGTTTTATTCTAGATGACGTTATTATTAGTTACTAGGAAAACGAATTTTAATTATTCTCAATATTAAGCATACTGAAGAAATACGGGTATTTGAGGGTTGATATCATATAGAATTCAGACATTTTGGTAATAAAGAATATGTTGTTATGATCCAATCAATTATCTAAAGCAAGTGACAATAAACAACTGTCATCAAATTAATTAACATATCGTATATGTAGTGGATTGTGAAAGTCAAAGTGATGCGTGCTATGATTTATTAAACATGTATTAACGAGCGAAATTTCGGTCGATAAATAATTCGGTTAAAGATGTTCATAAAGGCTGTAGTAGACTTTGAGTTTCTTTAAAGTTACTCAATGTATTTTCAGTATAAAATGAGATATATTTAGCAACTGATAATTGAATTGACCCTCATGAATTTAATACGTATATAAAATATATTGTGCAGATTATCACTGGTTCGGTATTCAAGGATATTAGCCATGTTATTAATATTATTTTGATCAAGCACTTCGTTCATACGAATTTTTATTGCTTAAAATTAGATATCTTCAGTTTTTATATTTCGATATGATTTTTTTCATTTCATTTACCCAAGCAAGCAGACATGTCGATTTTTGTACTGATTTTCTATACAAAAGGAACAAACTTTCAGATTTTTGTACTATCTATATTTAACACCAACTTTCGCATGAAATCTCAATTTTTTATGGACTTTTTTACCTAAATTTCAAGGTTTTGAGCTATTTTTACGCTTTTCTTATTTTGTTAAAAATTATTTTGCATAAAATTTGACTCACAACCTGAAATTGAGCTGAAAACGTAAATGAAAAATCGAGATTTCGTGTGAAAATTGGTGATAAATTTAGGTAGTTCAAAAATCTGAAAGTTTGTTCCTTTTTTACAGAAAATTTGTACAAAACCGACATGCTTCTCTGCACGGGTAGTTTTCTTTTGTTTTCTATTGTTATACGGAATGTGATCTTGTTATTCAAATATATTTTACGGTTGTTCATTATTTAAATTCATTAAGATTAGTGGGATAGAGTGTAAATTTAAGTTACGAAACAGTTATGCAAAATATAAATAGATAGTACTGCATTAGATTTTTTTTCAATTCGATTCGCGATTCTACAATTATATATATATATATAATTTATTTTAATTTAAATTTGTATTTATTAAATAAGAGTTATATGTGCGCAGTATTATTTGTTACTCAAATATAAATATTTTTCTTGTTGATGAATATTCAATTAATTTAGTACTATCGATAACGCTTTCTGTTTATTTGTTGATGAGATGTGTTCAGATATTAACAATTACTTCATCTAAAAAAAGGTAAAATACTTTTTACTAAAAATCATTCAGTAAACATAGTGTTTAAGATACTTTCAAGAGGTGATGGATTTTCTTTAACTATTAAAATATCACTAATTATACCAGTTATTTCGCTATAAGTAAAGTTTACGGTTAAAGAAACAATATTGTTGAAATTATTTTCATCGGGTGTGGGGTGTGGGTGTGGTGGTGTGGGTGTGAGTGTGAGGGTGTGAATGTGGGTGTGGGTGTCATTGCTGTCTTTAGTCATACCCATACCCACACCCACATCCACGCCCTTTTATTGGTTATGTTGATATTCTATTATCAATAATAACTAGAAATCAATTTATTGAATAATGGTATCTATTAAAAAGACCATCTAGTTTAACTGTTATAGGAAAAGATAAATCACAAAGATTACAAGATAATTCATTTAACATTAAGATTAAAGCAAGCAATTGAATCATATTTACATTTACACGAGGTTTAATTATTTAAATAATAAATAAGATAAACTTTTATTCTTTTAGTATATTCGATGAGATTATCTTCGACTGATTAGAATTGTTGGACTACATATTAGTCTACGGGATAAAGAGGAAATTGTTATGCTCATACAGAATCAACATTGACATATCAAATAATTTTTTCATTTCCGAAAATAGAAAATTCTATAATTTTTGTCTCACAGCTGCTTCAGTGAGTCAGCCTGCTTAGATATGAATGAAGAGAATCAAATTCTTTTCAAACACAGATATTACACACAACTTTTCTCTTATCTTAATTTTTTGTTTTACCCACATCATTAACCCGTATGTTGCTTAATCTCTTCTCATTTTCTACATCATTTCTTGTTGATATTGTTCAAGCACAAATTTTATCAACACCGTCGAATACATTAATACGTTTTGTGACAGATATTGTTTCATCAAAAAATTCCAATGATATTAATTTAGAAGTTGATTCCAAGCGGGTGTCAAATTTACAAAATTTTGAATGAAATCAAGTAACTTTATTCTTATTATGTGAAAAAATTTGATTAGAAATTGAACAATAATATGCATTATTTCGTCAGTTAATTATATTGAAATAAAAACAGTTTTTTTAAAATAATTTCGATGTTTTTGTTTAAAAGAAATTAAAACATATGTTTTGAAAACTTTGACAATTATTATCATCTCTATGTTGTATTACTCAAGGTAAATTAATTTTAATAAAACATTACAAACATTAGGAAATTTTTCTAAGTAAAAAAAATATCTAATTTTTAACTTTGAAAAATTTGTAATTCAGTTTTAGTTCAAAAGAATCTTATATGAATTTTATGAATGATTTTCTTGGAAAAAAAATGGGAAAATATACAAAGATTTTTAGATAATATATTTGTAAGTAAAAGAAAAAAGATTAATCCACTATATAATAAATTATTCTTCAGACAATCGATCATGATTATGACGAACCACGATCTTCAAATATAAACCTTCATTATAATGAAATATGATATTGATTTAGATATAAAAGTAATTTATCTGAAAATCGTTGTTTTACTTTAGGTAGAGAGAATATTCAATATTTCATTTAACTGTTGCTGATCTATTCGAACAAATTGATTTAAATACTCGTCGAACATTAAAATGAATTAACAAATATAAAATTATTTTATTCAACAATACAAAATGGTACACAAATACATTTGCATGCATTATCATCATATTTACCATCATTCAACGTCAACAACGTATTATTGTTTAAAAACAAATAATGAATTTAGTGGAACAACTAAAAGACAATAGATTTTGCCATCTCAACAACAATTACTACCAAAAATGGGTGTTAAAGTATGGTATGGGTTTTTCTAAATTCAAAAAGAAAAACGTTGCGGAAGAGTTTTTCGATGCCTTTGGTTCTAAAAACTTTATTGTTTTTGGACAACGATGTTCAATGAAATATTTTTCCAATAGATATGTCGTTCTTTTCAACAAAAAGAAAGTGAAGAATGCTATATCAAAAATAAAATAAATGTAGAACTTTTATCCAACCCGTTCGAAGCATNATTTACTTAGACACTATTAGTATTAGTAATTAAAAACAGTATTTTCTTTCATTATAAAATGATTATTAAGCTGACGTACCTGGTTTTATTATTTATAACTAAACTCTAAAAAAAAGATAGATGCCACTTAAAAACGCTAAACTGACTTGTTCTTTCGAGGTTGAAACTAAAAAAGAAACTCTAATACCTAATATGTTAAGGCGCGGCCGCCCGGCGGACATTTTACTCAGAGAGGCGGGTGCGGGGCGGCCGCCGGCGGACATATTACCTAGAGAGGCGGACGCGGAGCGGCCTCCAAGCGGACATATTATCCGAAGCGGCGGGCGCGGAGCGGACGTCCCTAAAAATTTTTTTCGGTGGCGCGGCCGCCCAAAAACCGCGCCATGTTTGACATTAGGGCGGGGCGGTCCGCGCGAGCGGCGCGGACCGCCCTCCGCTCCGCCTCCGCCTCCGCGCGCGCGGTGCACATCTCTGGTACAGATTATCAGTGGTTCGGTATTCAAGGATATTAGCCATGTTATTAATATTATTTTGATCAAGCACTTCGTTCATACGATTTTTATTGTTTAATATTAGATATCTTCATTTTTTATATTTCGATATGATTTTTTTTGTTTCATTTAGTTTTTCTTTTGTTTTCTATTGTTATAGGGAATGTGATCTTATTATTCAAATATATTTTACGATTGTTCATAATTTAAATTCATTAAGATTAGTGGGATAGAGTGTAAATTTAAGTTACGAAAAAGTTATGCAAAATATAAATAGATAGTACTGCATTAGTTACTTTTTTTTCAATTTGATTCGCGATTCTACAATTATATATGTATATAATTTATTTTAATTTAAATTTGTATTTATTAAATAAGAGTAATATGTGCGCAGTATTATTTGTTACTCAAATATAAATATTTTTCTTTCTGATGAATATTCATTTAATTTAGTACTATCGATAACGTTTTATGTTTATTTGTTGATGAGATGTGTTCAGATTTTAACAATTACTTCATCTAAAAAAGGTAAAAGGCTTTTTACTAAAAATCATTCAGTAAACATAGTGTTTAAGATACTTTCAAGAGATGATGGATTTTCTTTAACTATTGAAATATCACTAATTATAGCAGTTATTTCGCTATACGTAAAGTTTACGGTTAAAGAAATAATATTGTTGAAATTATTTTCATCGTTTATACCATCATTGCTTTCTATGAAATCAGAAGTTTTTTCTGATAATACAAGCATTAATAACGGTTTTGTAATTTTTAAATCGTATTGTTCATTATTAAAAGTCGAAATTGTAATTTTAAAGTAGTTGTCAGTTATGTTTTCGTCTTTTATTAATCGAGAATGGCAATCAATATAGACAATTATTCCTGCTTCATCAATTACGTTTGAACCACCACAACATTGATATATATAATGATTGTTATATTTCTCTATAGACATGATTTTTCCTTTTTGTGTATTGTATCTATTTATACTATTATCAACTTCACTGATTACATTTGTTAGATCATTAATTTTTATAAATCTTACAAATAAATAAAAGAACATCATTACATTATATTTTATAGGTTTCAATACATACGATGTTTCTGTTGCAGCAGCTAATGATATTTGTTCATTATAGATTCGTATTTTTAATAATCGAATATGATATGATTTTCCCAATTCTATTTCATTAAAATGACTTTCCCACATAGTCATTTCTAATGCTCCAGTCGCATCACCAATAACTGTTTTTTTTACTTTTTGCACGCGTTTAAATTCATTCTCTTCGAAAACAACTGCAATTTCATCACTAATAGAACAGATTTGTGCTTCTACTGTGCATAATCGATCGTTTATTTCATTTTTTAAAATATTGATATTTTTCACACGAATACATTCAGGTCGAAAGTTCAGGTCTTTATCAGTCACCTTTGCAGACATTGTACAAGTATATTGATCATTTTGCTCACGTAACGAAGTAAATTGAAGCTCCTCGGCCACTTCGAAGCGATTCTTTTAATCGATTATGTAACGAACAATATGGAACTTTAGATAAATATTTGACAACTCGAACTGTTGATTGATCTTCAATACATAAAATGAATGAATAATGATGATTATCATTTGTATTGTTTTTTGTAATTTTGTTAATATGAACAATATACGCATCTAAGGAAACTAAAGCTGATGAAGATAATGTATTATTCTTATCAGTAATTGTGCGTCTGATATTATTAAAAATCGTTGGATTAAAAAGAGAAAACTTAAATGAATGAACTAAATCGATTGCGCCTTTTAGTATTTACTATCGTTTTAATGATTTATTATTGATTTTGAATAAATTTTAGTAATGACTTTGCAATTTTTAATTTTTTTTTCTGTTCTTAATGTGGTAATGTTATTTAGAAAGACATTTTTTTAAAATATTTAAATTAGTACAAGCATTAACTTATCATGAAAATGAGCGAAAAATATTAAAATCATAAAATACATAAACTCTTACTGCTTTAGTGTAGAATCAATTCGCAGTAGGGCTCACAAATTTCTTAATTTCAGCAGGTAAGTACTAGTTTTTGTGATTCTCTTCTTGTCAAAAAATCTCTTGGTATCAGGAAGTGTCTTTCGAAAGTTTCTCTTGTATTCTGTTTTTTTTTGTAGTTTTTTTTCGTCTCTATCGTTCACGAGTAATTTTGGCTGACTAGAAAATAAGATCGATTAAATAGAATTTTTTTCAAATTAGATTAAGCCAATAATCAATAAGAGAATAAAATTGTTCTTCTTTTCTTTTATATTCTTCTATCTAAAGTTAAAGTGTTTCATTTCCTAGATAAAGATAATGTAAGAGTTTTTTTAAGTACAAAAAGAACAAGAAGACAGTGATTTTAAGAAAATTGGTCTCAAACAGATGATGCTTGTTAGTGACATTCGAAATCGGTTTGAAAAAAGTCCCATGGTCAATTTCACTTGAACTTGCAAATACTGTTCATTCACTATTATTTGAGAATAATTCTAAATTGAAAACTGCTTTGTCATCATCATCTGCCATAATCAATAAACTTTTGATATGTAAATTGAAGGAAGAATGGTTATTCAGTATATGTTCTGATTTTGTAGCAGAATATAAAAGTGATAAACAAAAATATTATGTTTTATTTTTTTTAATTTTATGTTAGGAAATTCTATTAGCAGTTTTTTATTACACGACGGTAAGAACTTTCTATGCGAAAAAAAACATATGTAACGACTTTTTGTTTTTCAAGAATAATCTCCTGATTTCTATCGTAATTTAAGAAAAAAAACCTTCGGATGAATTCCTGGTTTGTTTTGAGAAAGGTTATGGGATTTTAGAAATACAGATTTCGTAACCGTGATTCGCATTCTAATAATAGTTCTATCGTAGGTTCTAATGAAGAAATTAGAGTATTAGCAATGAGTGTCTAAAAAAAAAGAATACATTTTTTGTATTGATTGTACCATATTTTTTCATGTCTTAATGTATATGTTTGTATCATGTTCGATATGTGAAAGTAACACAACGCTTAAATTCATGATCGTTTTGTCAATTTTATGTTTTTAAATTAGAAAAAAATTTTAAGAAATATTTCATGGAAATTCATGTACCCTTCATTATTGTAAATCATGAAATAGACAGGCTTTTAGTTAATAAATTTCTATGGTGGTGCAATCCAACAAATTTTTTTGAAAGACTTTATGAATATTGAAATGAATTGATTCCTATTTTAGTTTGTCTTTACCCCACAGGATTCTATATAGTTTTGTTTTCTGTAATATGTATTTGAAAGCAATATTTACAAGTGGTCTAAGTTTTTTTTAAATGTCTTTTATTATTAAAGGAGAAGAATTTAGTTGCGGGTTTTTTTTCACGTAATATCTATTATTATTAGGTTAAATCATAGTATTTGTTTTCGTGTTTTTTTACTGAGAAAAAGAAATTAAAATTAGTGAAATCATAATAGAAAACTACATTGAAACAGAGCATTATGGTTTAAATAGATGAAAACGAATTTTGTGAAACAGCTTAAAGTTTTTGACTATCATTATCTTTTCAGTTTTATAAAAAAATAACACTGAATAGGAATTTTGAATGTTTAAATAAAGGTGATCGATATTCTTAAAAACTTATGTTAATATGTTGTGTTATGTATTAGTAAATTTTAGAAGTTAAAATATGTAATATAAGTGCCAATTATTTATCGTATACAGTTTTAGATCGAATATCATTTGAACATTAGAGTCACTGATAGTGTCTACCATAACTTTATCATAATAGAATGTCGATAACAGTAACAGATTTTTTGAATTTCTCCTCATTATTGTTGAATGCTAATTTATGTTTGCTAGCTGTCTAATTTACTACTTAACGGCGGTAAATTCAAAAGAGAAATTTTCACATTCTTATATTTGTTTGTAAACTTATTATTTTTTATAAGTAAAAAAATATTCGTTCACAATATTAAGTTGATTATTATTTGGCGGAAGTCGATTGTTTTTATTTTAACTAAACTGTAATAAACGTTACATTATATTCATTTGGATAGGGAAAAAAAATTTTAATATTAATAATATGGAAGATTTTGATCAAGTATCAATGAACTTTCGACAGTTTTTGGAACAACAAAGAACAACAAACATTTTGAGCAAATGTACCAATTTATGTACACAATATCCCAGTTTCTTTAAACTTTCTAATGGTGCGCTGACTATGTCTAATTCATCTATTAAATGGCCCACCGTCATACATAGTGGTTTTAGTTCAGAAAGTATTAGACAAGCAACGAAGTATATTGATATACCTGAATACAAAGTTTTTTGTCAACTTATCTCGTACAATATGCCAATATATTCAACAAATCAACCATTGTACGATGTTTTTAAAAGTAAAGCATTATTAACACCCAGAGAACTACATCCTATAGAACTACAAATATTCAATATTCATTCATTATCAAATGAATTACCTAAATTTGTTAAATAATTTGATCAATTCGTTAATAATTTGAATAATCTTTTTTACTTTTATTGGTATGTCGATTAAATTAATTGATTCATTAAATAGGCATAGTTGTATTGTTCGATATACAGAAATCTATATCTTGATGGAATTTTATTGTTTCAGGAGTAAAGACTAATTTTCTCCATTTCATTTCTAATGTTTCAGCTCAAATTTAGTGCAGAATGATGAATCATAAACACTCAAAACTCGTAAAAAGCTCTGGTCGTTGCCTTCTGAAATCGGTTTTTTGATTGTTTTGAAAAATTTTACAACCATCTCGTGATATTTATCAGAAAAATCAAATACAACAAATTTAACGAACAATGTCGATAACACATATCCTTTGCGAGTTTTACAATTTCATAAAGAAATTGTATAGCCAAAATATTTATTTTCATCGAGATATTTGATGTGTTAGTGAACTATTTTTTATAGAATGCTCTTAGGAATGATTATATCTTGAAGGGTGTGGGTGTGGGTGTGGATGTGGGTGGATGGGTGTGGGTGTGGGCGGAGGGTGGGTGTGGGTGTGAGTGCGGGTGGTTGGACGTGGGGTGTGGGTTTAGGTCTCGTTTTCAACCACACCCACACCCGCATAGAGCCTTAAATCTTTCAGCATAGGATTAAGCTTTTCTGTGTATAAAAGAATTAAAATGTTAAATATATTAGGGTATGGGTGTGGGTGTATGATTCTTCTATTTATCTATGTCCACAAACCCGCACCCACCCTATTGTTATATTTATAAAGTACTCAAGTTCCTATGCAATGGTGAAAACCGCAGCTTTCTAACTCTTTCTATTCTTGAGTTATTGCAAAAATAGCCACAACTATTACTTTTTAAACAGACTATAGTTCAGTCGATGTAAAATTTAATGCCGATTTCGAATATGTCATTTTTTTCAAAAACAAAATAAATAATTCCACTTTCTTTTAGGAGAGGAAACTTTTACTTTACTTTACTTTTAGAAAGCAAAAATAAAATAATAGCGGCACTTCTAAGTTGCATAGTCCAACATTATTTATACTGAAGCAGAAGATAGATCCACATTTTTGTAAGAAGTTCTTTTATTGAGATCAAATTTACGGAGTTGGTGGCATGAAAAAACTGAAAATTCGTATTTAATTCAATACAAAAAAGGAAATAAAATGGAATCAAATTGTCATGAGATTCATGTTTTGCAACAAAAGAAGATAGTTGCAGATCTTCACTCCATGGAGATATGCTTGAACGTTTTCAATGGTTCTTTCATATTTTTCACAGACAATGGCGAGGAAAATCGAAAGATATAGTGAGGCCCACCGGCTTTATCGTTCGTACCCGAAAGGCGAGCACCACCGAAAGGTTGTTGATTGACAACGGCACCAGTTGATTTATCATTTATGTAGAGATTTCCCATGGCTTGCATCAAACGTTCACGTGTCTTCTTGAGAACTTTTTCATCTTTACAAAAGATCGATCCGG